TCTCGGCCTCCTCAAAGCTTCCCAAGTGTAAACAGCAGACTGCCTTCGTATTTCAGAACCATCCCTATCATTGGGTACTTTTCAGTGAAGTCTTGGAATATGAGATAAGCTTCACGGATCTTAGAGCCACCCTGCAACCATTAAAGATGATGTCAAAGGACATATTTACAAATCAGCAATGTCAGAAACTCAGAACTGAAAACCAGTAAAGTAATATCATAACTTCAAATCACAGAAAAAGTGGCTGGTTTCAGATAACTCTACGGTTCAGTGGATAAATAAAATATTAGCATGAAACCATTCTCTGTTAAAAGTTCATTTGGGCAGCCAATCATATGCTAGATCAGAATTGGTTGCTAGCTCAAAAATTCAATCCAAATGCACGAGGCACAAGAGACACGGACGTAGCTTACTGCTCCAAATACCAGGATCCTTGCAGGGTGCATCGGACGTGGGGTAGACAAAAAAAATCATATCAACAGAGGAGGAGAATAGGGTCAGTTACCGGCACATCCAGCCGCTGAGCTCGGCCGTCGCCGTCTCTGCCAGAGCACACAAACCTAGGGTTTCGTCGAGTAGAGGAGCACAAGCTCCCCAGCGGGAGGAGGCATTGAGGAGCCAGCACGGAGGATGGGGGAGAGAGAGGAGGCCACCGAGCCCCTCCCGTGCCGGCAAGGCGCTCGCAAGGGCGTCGTCGCCTGGCAGCCGCCGCCGCCTCGCTCCCACCACCGCCTCGGGAGGGAAGGGGAGAGAGAGGGATGAAGGGGAGGGAGAAACGGAGGTGAGAGGCAGGTGAGGGAGGACGGAGGAGGAGGACGAGGAGGGTGGCCGCAGCCGCCGCGCCGGTCGTCACCGCCCTGTTCACGTCAGGATGGAGAGGGAGAGAGAGACCGATAAAGAGAGGGGAGACGCACAGAGACGGGGAGGGGCGGAGCGGCGAGGTCGGGAGAGCGTCGGAGGGCACAAGACAACGGAGAAATGGGGGAAATCAGACAGGCGCGACTCCCAACAATTAAACAGTGACGTCGACATCCAGACCCCACATGGCAGAAACACAGAGCAACCAACACAGATCGGACGTTCCATTCTTTATCCTACGGCCAGAAAATTTATGCGCCAACAAACCAAGAAACACACGTGTGTCCTATAATATTTCTGAATCTAATAACCTAGTCAGAATCTGAACCCCTCCTGGATATTCTGCAACTTGTGAGGTCTGACGAACGACTGCCAGATAGGAGTGTTCTCCAACTGCTCAAAGCTGAGAGTCTGAACGAGTCAGTTGCTTGATCATTTCGCTAACTGGCATTACAGGGTAAGTGCAGCTCGCGTTGAAAAGTCTCAGACATTGAGATCACTCTTAAAAAAAGTCGCAGACATCGGAATTCAAGAAATGTCCTTTTGCACACAGAAAAGGTACAGTAGAGTTATTCTTTTCTCATGCGTCCACAGATAGGGCTCAAGCTGAATCAGGTGGTGCTAGTTGTAACTGCATTTCTTTTGGGGTGTTGAAGAATTGCTTTTGTTCAACATTACTTTCCCGGTTAACTAGAAGACAATTAGATATTGTTCGTATTGTCTGATTGGCAAGTTGCTGACTCAGACCGTCAGAATTCGCAGACTAATGTTCTCTCGCCTCTTGTTCCTATTGTTTTTTGGTTGCAGTTGTAAGAAATGACGCGGACACCGGGATTGACTTCTTGAGCGGCCTTCGACTCTACTCCGTTCTGTCCACCACTGGGCACTGGCTTCGCCATCATCCTCCGCGTTGAGAAGTCGCAGACATTGGGGATTCAGGAAATGTCGTTTTTGCACAAATCAAGTACGGAAGAGTCGTTCTTTTTTCTCATGCGCCCATACTCCATAGGGTTCAGCTGAATCAGGCAGTTGGAGGTGCTTGTAACCGCATTTTTGGGAGGTCGAGGAACTGCTTTTGTCGAGCGTGGCATACCTCCCCTTGTACCACCGAAAGACCTGCTTTCTCACATTCATATCTTTCTTCAATTGTTTGCTCTGTCAAGTGGCGCAAAAACGTTAGATGTATATGATTCTGATTGACAAGTTGTTGATTCAGACTTGAATTCAGAGGCGTGTGGTTCTCTGTACTCTTGTTCCTTTCGCTTTTGGTTACGCTTAAAAGAAATGTTACCCGGAGCCGGGCTCGGCAGCCTACGACCCTTCCCCGTTTTTGAACCAATCGAGCAGCTCTCCGGAAACCAATCAAGCAGAAGCTTCTCTGGCCGGTGATGGTGAGCAACGTTGAAAAGCAAAACGCAGTTTTTTCAATTCTGAACCCGTCACTTCACGCCGATCACAGCCGTGGTACGACAGCAACTCGCAGCGGACACAAGGCCACATCCTCTCTCGCCGCCCTTGAGTTCTTTGACCAAAGGGTACTCACCAAACCACACGCACAGAGCTGCGACGTCCCGACTCGAACGGAGGGGCTCTGTTCCCGCTCCTTAGCCACCCGCACCCGGCTCCGCGTACCTGCCGGCCGGCTGACCACGCTGCCCGTGACATATCGGGTAGCGAGCCTTAAAGCTTACGTGACAGCTCGGCTTGCTGCGTGTTCTCTCTCTGCGCGGCCGGCCCGGCAAACTTCCTCTGGTTTCTGATGATGGGTGTATCGCAAGCTGCCGCCGTCGTGGCGGTGATGGCGTTCGCGGTCGCGGTCGCGTTGCCGGCGTCGGCCTTCCCGTCCGGCTTGCCGCCTGGGGCGCCATCGTTCCCGAACCCGTGGGCGGCGTTCCAGAACCTCTCTGGCTGTCACATGGGCGAGGAGCGGCAGGGCCTGGCCGGGCTCAAGGACTACCTCAGCCACTTCGGCTACCTCCCGCCGCCGCCGTCGTCGTCCCCGTTCAGCGACGCGTTCGACCAGGACCTGGAGGCGGCCATCGCGACGTACCAGCGCAACTTCGGGCTCAACGCCACCGGTGCGCTGGACCCGTCCACCGTCTCGCAGATGGTCGCGCCTCGCTGCGGCGTGGCCGACGTCATCAACGGCACGTCCACCATGGCGAGGAGCTCCTCGGCGGACGCCCACGGCAGGCACCTGTACGCCTACTTCCCCGGCGAGCCGACGTGGCCGCCGTTCCGTCGGGACCTCAGGTACGCGATCACCGCGACGTCGGCGACGTCCATCGACCGGAGCACGCTGAGCGACGTCTTCGCGCGCGCCTTCTCCCGGTGGGCCGCCGCCACCAACCTGCGGTTCGAGGAGACCGCGTCGGACTCCGACGCCGACATCACCATCGGCTTCTACGCCGGATCGCACGGCGACGGCGAGCCGTTCGACGGGCCCCTGGGCACGCTCGCGCACGCCTTCTCGCCCACGGACGGCCGGTTTCACCTCGACGCCGCGGAGGCTTGGGTGGCCGGCAGGGACGTGTCGCGCTCGTCCACGCCCGGGGCGGTGGACCTGGAGTCCGTAGCGGTGCACGAGATCGGCCACCTCCTGGGGCTCGGCCACTCCTCGGTGCCCGACGCCATCATGTACCCGACGATCCGGACGGGGACGAGGAAGGTGGGGCTGGAGGCCGACGACGTGCAGGGGATACAGAGCCTGTACGGGAGCAACCCCAACTTCACGCCGACGTCGCCGGCGACGAGCAGCCGCGAGATGGACAGTAGCGCCGGCGCGGGATTCCGACCGGACAGAGTCTTCGTCGGAGTAGTTGCGGCAGTTGGCCTGCTCCTAGTCCTAGTGCCGTAGACCTCTAGTGCTTGTCATTTTTGCCACGGCCTTCGTTAGTCGTTACATCGATTTCTTGCTCGATTAGTTGATTCTTGGATCAGATTCTTGTGTACATACTATGATTACTATTACAGAATAATATAATACAGTACTACTTTAGATCACAGAAGGATATTACAAGTCGTGGACACGTGGAGCGGCATTCTTTCCGGGTACAGCCCGGAGCCTGTTTTGGTCCAAGAGTCGTCAGAAGCTTCTATCCTCCGTCAGATCATCTGTATCCCATTTCGTCCACGAACGGATTAATTAGAGTCAAATGTCTTGTATAGCAATTCACAAAACACGCTATGGAGTAGTTATAAGCACTGACGAAAGAGGAACCCACCGTACAGATATTTTAATCACGGAGCAAAAATCATCACTGTCCATGATCTCCACGTAAGCTCCGACGTAATTTGTCGTGGAACCACTACGCGTTGCTTTTGACGATGCTTGGCTTGGTTCACCAAATTGGCCGCTAAAAATAGTATATGATGGGCCTGTTCGCTGGTCGGTGCTGGTGCTGGTTTGAGTTGGCTGGTGTTGGTTTTTTGTGAAAGAAAAAACATTGTTGGCTGGCTGGTTTGGGCTGGCTGAAACCAACAAGCGAACAGGCTAGATTACTCGTGTCAGAACTCGCAGCGAGCAGAGGAATCAAGCAAGCCACTATTTAACAGGTCAAATTAGACTTGGCCGAAAAAGATGTATAGTAGTAGCAATAATCAGATTAGGCGACCTGTTCCGGTGTGCAACTTCTTCACTTCTGGAAACCATTCTGATTCAGGCACAACACAATCCCGCCGGTCGTCGTTTTGCACTCCGACCACGTCTGAGAAAGGCAGCTGCCGACATGTGGACCAACCCTGGCAACGGACCCACCAGTCGGTATCACCAGGGCCAGAAGCCAGAAGCCAGTAGCTGGCTGGTCAAAAAGTCAAAATTGGCGCGCAGCTGCCCGCGAGCACGAACGGACCAACCAACCACCGCGTTCCGGACATATCCGGACACGCGACTCCTCCGTCCGCACTTTTCAATTCCACAGGCGTGGCGTGCATGGGCGGCGATGCTTCTGGAGTTCTGGTCATTGATGCGTTCGTTGGCACAGGTAAGCAAGCTCCTATAAAAGCCACATTCTCTAGCATCCCAGGCTCCCTTGCCCCAACCGCAAGAAAGCAGCAGCACACGGTTCCTTTCCTTGCATTCTTCCTAGAAGGAATCGTCGTCTTTGCATCGGTGTCGCCGGTTCAGCCGATCGATCGGGACCATGCAGCGCAGCAACTCCTTCGGCACGTCGTGGGCGGACCAGTGGGACTACGGCGGCGACCCGAGCCCGCGCGCGCGCGGCCGGCAGCAGGACGGCGGCGGCAAGAAGCAGGGCGGCGTGGAGAAGACCAAGGCGGCCGCGGCGACTGGGGCTGAGGAAGGTGAAGGAGGGCACGGCCAGCGGGTTCCAGTGGATCAAGGACAAGTGCCAGAAGAAGGGCGGCAAGAAACAGGGCGCCCATGAGGGCTCCGGGATCGCCGGGTACTAGTTAGCTAGGCTCTGTTTCGACGGAAAGCCTATTTTTTTGGTTATATAAAATAGGCGATTTCTATTTGTTTGTTCGTTCGGTCCTTCCGTGTGTCGTCCATGTGTATACTGTTGGATGTAGTGTCGGCTCCTTCGTGTAGATTAATGTTTCGATTACAGCTATTGATGATTGGTTTATTGTTTTCAAATCTCGTGCTCTGTTTTGCCGCACAAGTTTCTTTGACACCCAGGTGACCCTGGATTCAGTTGTCTCAAACTGTAAAGCATCAGTACAAATTGTACAACAAAAACAAAAATAAAATTAGAGAATGATTGCGAAGATGACTGATTGGTAACTATAGTTTGCATGCAAGCTGCAAACCAGTGAGAGGAAAGCACTTGATGTTCTCCTCCAAAGGTGAATCGATTTCATCTACAGAATTGATTTATCTAACTATGAACGCCTTTGGAGGAGACTAGAATTAGGTTAAACACAGTCACACAGATGCTGTTTAGATAGCCGAAGTTCTATTTTAAATATAGTTACATCGAGTTCATACAATATTTATGCATATCGAACACACGCACAACCAATAAAACACTTGATATAGAAGAACACGCTAAGCGAACGAGTTGGTCACAAGGTTGGGTCGTCGGGAGTTAAGACTCCTCACCTCTCTCGTAGCTGCAGAAATTAATGTGTTGCTTGGATGCATCCAGTGGTGGTGACACTTCTTGTTCGCATGCGTGTTTGGACATTGTCTAAAAAAATGCCCTTGATGTACACAGCCTTCTAAGATATTTACCGATCCAAAAAAATGTTTAGGTCCTATTTAGGACAGATTTTCACTAAGAAACTTTTCTCTAAACTTGATTTCTCTATAAGAGAGGTTTTATAAAAAGTGATATGTGAAAAAGCTACCAATTTAGCAGTAGGGAAAGTCCGATAGACCATGGCAGAGTGTGAGGTGGGACGTCAGCGAGAACAAGGAAGAGGGAGGCACGGGTGTCAACAAGGACGAGGCAACAAGGATTTGACAACAAAGATTAAGAAATATTTAGTTAATAAATTTCAAAAGAGATAAAATTTTTTTCATGGTCCAAATGAACCACTTAAAAAGAACCATTTTGTTATGATTCTAGCAAATTGCTCAAATTAGTATAGTGAGTCCAAATTTAGAAAGCATATACATTTGTTTGGATCACACTTTTGCCACATGTTGTGACAAATTTGACTAGATTAACAAGTATTTAGTTAGTAACTGTGAATTAAGCAAGTTTTTTCTGTGAAAATGTTCATGTTAGTGTAAAAGATCCGACTTAACAAGATTCTATTTTTCATAGTGTATTTCCAAAGTTTTATACGGTGTTTTTTTGTCACATATTACATAATGTTGTGGCAAATTTTAGAGTTCGAAAGTAGTTGCAGAATGTGAATTGCTTGGGTTTCTTTGTGACGGAAAATGTTCATCTAGGTTAAATCTCCGACTTAACACAGGCTCATTTTTCTCGATTTATTTCAAAAATTAACTGTGATTGAAAAAAAAGTTGTAGAATCAGTCAGTTTCTCGGCTGGACTATCTCAAAAACGGCTCAGTCGCGAATATACCCATGTGTGTGCCTTTATAGAGATAAGTGTACAGACATGTACGGGCGTTGTGTTCTACTGTGATTGAAAAAAAAAAGTTGCAGAATCAGTAGTTTGAAACTGGCGATGACAATGATTGGTACATTATTAACTGTTTGCACACACGCCGGCAGCAAGTGGACTCTCTGGGCCTATCTCCCAGGTGCCTCCGGTTCACTGTAGTACTTGCACAGATACGTGAAGAACACAAAACTGACGGTGCCGATAAAAGCCAGGAACCAGTAGTACTTGTCCAGGTGTTCATGCCGTGGATCATCAGAGAACCAGCAGTGTCCCTCTCCCGTCCTCGCCGTCGTCGTCTCGAGGACCGCGATCAGAAAGGCACCGAGGAAGTTCCCGAAGCCAAAGACGCTGAGGTAGTGCGCGATGCCGATGGTCCTCATGGTGCTGGGGACCTGCGTGTAGAATAACTGCATTCCGACGACCGTGAACACATCAGCTATTCCCAGTAGAATGTACTGCGGGAGCAGCCAGAATATGCTCAGCTGATGAGTGGCGCCGTCTCCTTCGCTGACGAAATGGACCCGCTTCGATTCGACAATGGAGGCGGTGACCATGGCTGCGACTGAGAGGACCATACCGATGCCGATCCGCTGGAGCACGGTAATCCCCTTCTCCTGCCGGGTGAACACGCGCATCAGAGGAACGAATATCTTGTCGTACAGCGGCATGAGCAGTATCACCGACATCGTCGTCGAGCTCTGGAGCATTGCTGGAGGAATCACGAAGGTGCTGCCGACCTTGTGGTTCATCAGTGTCCCTTGCTCGGTGAAGGACGTCATTGGCTGCTGAAAGATGACGGCGAAGATCAGCAGCGTTGTCCAGATCAGCAGAAGCCTCAGGATGGCATTGGTGACGCTAGGTGCAGTGTCATGGTCATCTTTTGCCTCCTCCATATCAGTGAACTCATCTTTAAGCGCCTTCTCTTCTAATCTGTATTTCAACATATTAACATATATAATAGTACAAAAGAAATTGAGGTACGGACTACTATAGTAAAATCTTACTCTAGCTCCGAAATGTCATGATCATCATCTCTAGCCGGTAAACGGACCTTCCGAGTAATGAGACATGTAACGATTTCTTTCAGTGCTCTGAAAATGCCATCTGAAGGCTTGTTACCAGTATTCCGTTCCTTGCACATATACAGAAGAGCTCCGCAACAGAATGCGACCACAGATAAGACCATGACGCTGCAAGGAATGGCAAATCCGAGACCCCAACCAAACGTGTCTTGGATGTATGACATGATGGAGTTCCCCAAGAGGCTACCACTGCATATACCAAAATACCACCACTGGAAGAACAGGCTCTTCACCTGGTTCTTTTGTTCAGCTGGCAGAGATTCCATGTCATCTTCAATCAGTAGTTGATCAGCTCCAAATGCTTGCAACGAAGGGATGTATCCACCCTGCCCAACTGAGATCAAGTACAGTGGCAAAAACAGCAAAGAAGATGGCATCCATGAGTGCAGCACTGCCCATGAGGTTAAACCTACTAGGCCCTGATCAATAAACGGGTTAGGTGAACTGCAATTCTCACCAAAAAAACAATAACATAAACTACGGGCGTAAAACCTCTGAAGTAAACTTGTTTTAAGGGAGTGCTTATAGTAGTGCAGAGAAAGAAAAAACTTACCACTATGTAAAGCAACGATGAAACAGTTATGGTAGAATAACGATCCCAGAAAGAATCAGCAAGAATGGCACTAGCCAGTGGAAGCATGGACGTGACTCCATTCCAATTTCCATGTGCTAACACTCTTCGCAGCGGAGGATGTGCTCATCTTTACAACATCAGTGAGGAAAGTCACAATATTTGAGGCTACCCCCTTGTAAACAAATCTCTCCACACCAGCCACCACTGCAACACAAAATGTAATGAACTGAAAAATGATGCACAGATCATATCTTGCAGGGGAAAAACAATAGTACAATGACATCGAGCATGGTTACCTATAATGAGAACACATGGCTTGCTCAATGCTGCCGACTTCACTTCTGAATCCATGAGAAACAGTGAACACCGAGAAGTCTCACTCAGCTCCTTCAAAAGTTTACATATATGGGATATTCTGAACAAAGACAGATGAGACCTAATATTCTTGCCCCTTCTTTTATTAGTGGTAACTCCACAATGGGAAGAAAGCGTGAGGACTACTAGTGCAACCTCCACAAATCAACAGATTTATTTTATGAATTATGACTTATATAATTCCAGGAGTTAGTGCCGTTAGAGGAAAACGAGTCCAGGAATAATATGGAATGCCCTGTTTGCATCACCTAAAACAAGCTGCTAGCTGCTAAAAAAGCTCTACCTGATCCAAATAGTCCAGCTTATAGTCTGGTTTATAGCCCATTTTAAACTATTCAACCACCCCGGTTATAAAAAGCTATTAGTTGGCTCTCTCTAGCAATTGCAGCTTATAAAAAAGTTTTGCTGATTCAAATTGATCTCCAGTAGTTTGCATGTTACATATTTACACTGAATTTTTCACACATGAACGGGAAACTTTCTTTTCAGATGTTTGTCCTGATTAAAAAGAAATGAATATGGCAGATCTTATGTGGAAAATTTCGTTGACGAGTAGGAATATTTCAAGTTAGATGAATGTAATTAGCTGCAAAGTTCAGAAATAATACGTCAAAGACAAAGCACCATGCCGACTTCAATGTAGTGCCTAAGAGTCACACACCATTATTAATGATCATGTACTCCTTCCTATATGAACAGGAAACTAGCACAACATGGTAAGACTAAACATAATACTGGAATTTCAATCGAAAAAAAAAACTATGTAGCCATTCTAATACAAAGATGGCAAGATAGTGAAAACATGACACGATAGAAAGCCAAAAAGAGCACCTGATGTAGTATGTGAAAGGTGCAACTTTTATTCATAACAATGCTTGTGGAGATCAGCTTGACAATTGAAACCTAAACAACATCTTATCATCGTAAGCCATTAATAACTGCTAGTAATATAAATTTTACAATGCAGTAGTGCTCAATCATTTAAGCACTTTGAGACAAAAGATTGGCATACTAGACAGCATCTGGACACTGATTTCGGCTGGTCTATAAGCCGCTTGTGCTGATTTGTACGGCTAATTTGTTGGAAGAGAAAAATAATGTACCATGGCTGGTAAGCCGGCTTATAATGGCAGCCGAACAGAGCCTAAACGTCCTGGAGGTACTTTCTGACGTGGAGTTCACCAAATCTCATTTTCCTGTATGAGCATTGAGCCATTGAGATTGCCTTTGCCGTGAACCGCTGAAAGCTAATATGAACATTTCTATCTGCACTGATTAGACTATTTTTGCTATCCGTTACACATGACACATCGGATTTCCAACAGTGTTTCATAAGTTCCCAAGTTGCTTCACCATTCCAAAGTGACAACAGGAACACTTTTCCAAAAGGCAAAACTTTTATTCAGTGTGAGATGGCATGTTGTAGTTCGAAAGATCACTGAAGCACAAAAGCAAATCTTATTTATTCTACAGGAGATAGCTTGTCTAGTGCTGACGATCACATCACATTATTGAAGGTGAAAATTGGACAAGACACTGGATGCAAAGACTAAAGTTTTACAAATTACAAGGCCTATATATATTATGAGTTTAACGAACCATGATTGCATACACAGGCAAGAAAACACAAGCCACTTATTTCTGATGATGGTACCTCCTCTCCTCCACCCTCCTTTTGAACTTCTCCTTGTCGTCATCCGACTCCCCGACCACCGCTTCCTTTGTCTCGTGCAGCGTTTCCTTTGCGCTCTCTGCGACATCGTCGGTCTTTTCCTTTGCCACCCTCAGGAACTCTTCGGCTGTTGATCTTGCTTTATCCCTGATTTCACCTAGTGTGGTGTCATCGTGTTTCTCGGCTGAATAATACTGTCAATTTCACAGGAAAACAGAAGATTCTGAACACAGGTTAGGAGTACCAAAATCTTTCGATCGATCATTTTTATTGGAATGAACTGTTGTCTAAAACATTCGCACATCATGATTCACTCCTTGTGCAGTTGTGCTTGCTTAATTAAAATTCAAAGAACACTGGGAAGTAGCAGCAGTAACAGGATTGGTGAACTCACCCTGTAGCCGGGAAGAACATTGTTGCAAACTGCAGGCAGAGGCAGGGCAGGGGATCTGGCCACCAGACTCCGGGGAGGGCAACCGAGCTGGCCATGAGCAATCAACCTCTTCATCTCGCCGACGATGATGATCCAATGCTCAAGCTCGAAGTAATCCGATAGGGACGGCCGTTTGTTCTGATCGGAAGCCGCCGTCTGCTTTTATAAGAAGTCGGGACGGGACGTGTAAAGGCAGGGGGCCGCCGGGCCGGCCGAGCAGGTCGATCCCCTCTCTCGACGTGGCGCCGAAGCGCCTGGCCACGTAGCCGAGGACGCATGCGAGGCCGCTCCTGGCGGCTGCCTATTGTGATTCGTGCGCCTACCTCTTGGGGGGACGTGTACGGCTACGGTTTGTTTTTGCATGGTGCCGCCATTAGTTTACCTTGAGACTTTGCGAGCGACGAAAGGAACTCCAGGAGGTGGCGGAGACGTAGCGTCTGGAACTGGGCATACGTGCCGCCGCCGGCGTCAGACGTCCTCACGGGGGGTTACGTTCACTGCCGGGCCGCCGCTGCTTCTTGCGACCTGGGTTACGTTACCTGGGCTCACAAAGGCATTTTGACCTCTCTTCGGTGTCTTTGGTAGGGATTCTTTGCCAGTGCCGGCCATGCAAGGGTGCACGGGGTGGTCTAGGCCCACGTGCGATGGCCTAGGGCCCAGGGGGGGCATCCTGGGACCCCACGTATACAGCCCTCGTTACTGCAGGCCCTTTAGCCTTTAGGTATACTACAGAACGCTTAGCGTCTCTGTGAACGCTTCGCCCGACGCCAGGACCCTATCTGCGAACGGCCAACGCCCGCGCCGCCGAAGGGTGAATGCGAATCGCCGTCCGTGATCCGTCTCGCCGACACCGCACGCGTGCGGCGGCTGCAGCACTTCATGCTTCCTTCCGGCTGTCCGTGGTTGTCCGTTACAACGCCATGGTAGGTAGGCCGTGAGGTAGTCATGGACGCAGACGACGGCAAGGAGGCGATCTAGGTATTTTTTCCTTGATCGTTTTTTAATCTAAATTAATTACTTCGGACTTCTAGTACTCGATACTCATATAGTTGTGTTTTTCTTCTAATTTAGGTGTTTGAAACTTAGAATATTACCTAAGAAATATTTGTCGGGGTCTCAGAAAAGAAAACGGAAAAGAGTAGAAGATCAATTTATTGAATCTCAAAAAGGTGCTATACATAAGTTTTTTTTCTGCTTCAAACAGTGTTATGCCTGGATGCACTTGATATTGAAGAACAAGGGCAGCAACAGCAACAAGTTAATGATAATTTAAGTGAACGAGTTGATGACATTAATGATGCTACAGAGAATGAAAATTTACAGACTTCCTTTCAAACTGAAAATTCAATTGATGATGTGCAAGAAGGTTCTATTCATGATGTCTTTGATCATAGAACTTGGGGAAATCTTGATAATAAGGGTAGAGATATATTGATTGAAAAGGGGCCGGTGAGAGAATTGAATCTTGAGTTCCCAGTAGATGCTCTTAATAGACATGTGAGCGCTTAAGATTATGGAGTTTGTTATAGCTGCAGATTGATATCCAAATGTTTCAGTTGCCTATTGAATCCTCTCTTACTGTACCTGTGACTATAGCTTCAGCTGAAAGAAGTTTCTCAAAATTGAAGTTGTTGAAGAACTATTTGAGATCAACTATGTCACAAGAAAGGTTAAATGGATTGGCTACGTGCACCATCGAGAGGGATATCTTGGACACTATTGATCTCAATACCGTCCTTGATGATTTTGCATTAAGAAACGCCCGAAGAACCATCTTTTTACGAGAAGCAATGGATATTATGGAGTTCTATTCTTCCTTAAGGTAATCATATTAGTTTTAGTCTATATTGTTCCTCGATAATTATCAAACATGTTAAATTAAAAATATATCACTGGATTTGTTTTCGCTTTCCAAAAAAAATAGCGCTTATATATTATAAAATTTATATATAGTCTAGAGGAGCCGTCGCGACGAGTTCGTCAGAGGGCCCTCAAAATCTTAGGACCGGCACTGTTCTTTTCGTTCCGGATCCTCTAACTCAACATTGTATATGCACTGTTGCTGAAATCTGTTTTTCTCTTTTCTCTCCTTCTCTCTCACTGACACACGTGGAGCTATAGAAGCCAAAAATTTTAGCTTCACAAGCTCCTACTTGGGCTGTGGGAGGGAGAGGGAAGAGAGAGTTTTGGCTTCCATAAACAATATGCTACAGTGGTTTTGCAGGTAGAAGTTGGAGCCGCCGGATCCGTGCCAAACGGGCCCTTCGATACGAGTCCGATCCCCTGTATGTACTGCTGCTGCAAACTTTTATTCTTGTTGGTTGAATTAAGAAACAAAAATGTCGTCTTTGCCTATAAATGTGTGGAAATGCTACGTGCAGTACCTTCGCCGCTTCGTGGGCCTGCATACTAGCCTAATAAATCTCTGCTTTTCGTCCACTCGTCTTTTATTACGGTATCCACGTCTGTCTCTTCCGTTGCGTCGATTGGATAAGAAAAGGAGAAGGAGACAGAGAGACATGCTCCGCACGTCGACGGTGACCCCACTTACTCCTGCTCCATCGGTCGCCCCGTTGCTACTGCTCTGCGGCTCGCTCCGCTATCGATGGTCATCCGGCGCTGCTTCTTCCCCTGCTCCACCGCGTCGCCCCACTACTTCCTGTCATTGCTTCTGCTCTGCGGCCCGCTTCGCCTGATGGCGTGGGCACCGCCGTGCCCACGCGTGGCGACCGCTCCCTCGGCCGCCAGCTAGCCACTGAGGCCGCTACGCAAGAAGCGTCGGGCCCTAGCGCGGAAGCCCAACGGTCTGGCCTCCAGCTACGACTACGGCGCCCCGATGCAGATGGCAGAGGAGGCCGCACCGAGATACGATGTATGTTGCAAGTGTTTAATAAGGATGTTACAAGAGTAGATCGGGATGTTGCACATGTGGCTATGGGCTATACACGTATGTTTCAAGTGTATATTCCAAATGTTTCATCTGTTTCAGACGTACGTTGCAAGTGTTTCATTTGAATGTTGGAAAACTAGATCGGGACTAAGTGTTTCAAGTGTTTTTATGCATATGCTGCAAGTGTTTTATCTTGATGTTTGCATATATTTATAATGGCTACACATGTCTTTTTCAACTTTTGTGTTTTGTAAGTGTTTCCGACATATGTTGCAAGTGATTCATCTCGATGTTACAAAAGTAGATCGGATATTGCACTGTTACCATGTGCGTTAGAAGCGGAGGAGGCGCGAGCAGTCCCTGCGCACGGTCTCACAGTGTGGACGTCAGCCGGGCGACGCAGGCCCTGTGAGTGCGCGAAATCTAGGCTCGAGCGGGAGCGTGCTGGCCCGGGCGTGAGAAACAGGAGTACAACGCGGACGTCCGGACGTGCACCTGTTCGTCGCTAACCAGGAGCAGCCACCTGAGATCACCAGGTTGCCCCCGCGCCAGTTCCCGCCTCACCTTTCTTTGCTTCCGATTTTGGCTCCCGGCTACAGGCCTCGATGCCTCGATGGGGCTGGGTCGCTGTCGGACAAGCCCTGAAACCCCACAGGTTACGCGCCCCACTTTCGGCCTGTTCGGCAGGACTGAAAAATACTGTTTCGGCTGATTATTGTGAGAGGAAAATACTGTTCTAGAGGACGTGAATAGTGATTTTATGAGATGACTGGCCAGCCGACAATCAGCCAGCCAGCTAGCCGAAAACGGCCTCTGCGTCCTGCAGCAAACCTCTTCTTTTTTTTATGAGATGCAGCAAACCTCTTGACACAGACACGGTCATGATCGGACTCTTGGCCGCCTACGCTTATATTTTTAATGGAGGAAAAGATCTCGTGTTTACGACGAGCAGCCGTGAGTGGCGTACCAATTTATTATCCGGGGGATCTTGTCCGTTCTTTCGAAAGTGTTTCTACAAACGAGTGAGGCTCCGTTTAGATCAAAAAAATTTTGGATTTTGGCTACCGTAGTACTTTCGTTTGTGTTTGGCAATTAGTGTCTAATTATGGACTAATTAGGTTTAAAAGTTTCGTCTCACGATTTCTCACCCAACTGTACAATTAGTTTTTTTTCGTCTACATTTAATACTCTATACATATGCCGCAAGATTCGATGTGATGGGTACTGCACAAAATTTGTTGGAATCTAAACGGGGCCTGAGGTAAACCCATCTCGGGATATGGGGACTGTAGCTCCGACCATGTCAACCATGATGCTCTCGCTGCTGCCAGTCCTTTCGCCAGCGAATGTTGTCATGCGCTACTTCCCGAACTCCAGAACAGGCGTGGCGGCGTCCCGCATCGGGCCTCCGCGATCCGCGTGACGCAACCATGAACCGCACGCTTGGCCGCCTTGTTAGCGTTTGGTTGTGAGCCTAGGTGCAGTGGGACGGTTTCATCTCTGGTCTGTGTGATGTGACGAAGATGTGATGATTTCATTTTCTATTTGATCTGATCGATAAGGGATAGAATTGACCTGTTTTGTGTTTGATTGATGGGATAAATAAGAATACGATGGATGTTGGATTTGACACCGTTAAAAAGCAGGTAACTTGGATTTGACACCGTTAAAAAGCAGTAACTGTGGGTCCATTTTTTTTAGACAGCCCCACCTGTCATCCTCAGGGATTTATGACCCAATTTTTAACGCTGCTACTACTAGACCAATCTAGCAATACGTGGACCCTACGTGCCATTGTCTACAGTAATAACTTTCTAGTTTTCCCCCCGGTCGAACTGAATAACCGTGAGTTTTCTTTCGGCCGCATCTCATCTTCTCCGCGGAGCGCCGCGCCTCCAGCCGCGAGCTCGGGCCCCCATGAGAGAGGAGCCTCCACGCCCTCTGCTCCTCCGTCCACCGCCGCCCTTCTGCCGCTCGCCCCAAGCGCCGCCGCGGCCCGCTCCAGGCCCCGCTCTGCTGCTTATCCTGTTCGTCGGCGCAGCCCCATCCCCAGCGCAGAGTTCGCCGGCCACGCTGCCTCGGATCTGGCCAGCGCGCTTCTTCTCCCCACGCCCTTATCTTCTTCCCTGCGCCCTTATCTTCTTCTTCTTCCCACGCCGTCGTGCGCCCGTGACGACTCGACGCCCGCTCTCATTGCAGACGGCGTGAATCGGGGATGACTCTGTCCCCTCGATTTTGAGGGACGGGAGTCAGCCGAATATGCTCAGAATATTCCAAATCCTTCCGACCAAACAAGAGACTGCGCCCCTTGCAGACGTCTGTTTATTCGGGTTGTAGGCGGGACTGCGCCCACGCACAGTCTATTCGGGTGGCTGGGTGTTTCGTTGCTGGATCGTGAAAAAATATTGCTGATTAATTTATATGAGAGAAAAATAATGTTTCGTCTAGAAATTTACGATCATTTACCATGACCAAATGAACAAGCTGCTGGTAGTAGTTCGGCCCGGGAGAGATTGCTTTTGCATGTACTCCTTAAAAAAAGAAAGAGAGGTTGGAGGAAAGCTGTCAGGCGAGTGCACCAAACCGGATTGGAGGAAAAGCTATTGACTTTCCCTCCGTTCAAAAAAATATATTTTTAACTTCTAGATATCTTATTTGACCATTCGTTTTATTTAAATTTTTGTCTAAATATTATCTATTTTATTATTATTTATTTTATTATTAGAGATATTTTAATAATAATTTATTTTATAATTTATATAAAATGTTTAAATAAGACGAACGGTCTCTGCAAGTCAAAAACGTCACCTTTTGGGACGGAGGAGTACGTCGCCCTACCGAGCCATGTCGATGTCCCTATATCAGCTCATCAACCATTAATGGGTTTGGACTACAGGCTTGAGGCTTCCTCGCAAGTCGCAATGATGCTTGCTGTCCTCTTGGTGTCCACTGCGGTGGCAGCAGCATCCTCCCATCCCCACCCGCTCGACCCACTCTCTGCCGCAGAGCTCACGGCTGTCCGCGCAGCCGTGCTTGCCTCTCCGCTCGTCCCCGCCCGCCCGCTCTACTTCCACTACGTCGGCCTCGACGAGCCCGAGAAGCCGGAGGTCCTCTCCTACGCCTCCGGCGCCGGCGCCTCCGCCACGGCCCTCCTCCCGCGGCGCGCGCTCGTCATCGCTCGAGCCGATGGCCAGTCCCACGAGCTCCTCGTCGACGTCACCGACGCCTCCGCGCCGTCCGTCCTCTCGCACGCCGTCCACCGCGGCGCGGGCTTCCCGATGATGACGACGGAGGACCAGGTCGCGGCAATGGCGCTGCCGCCCACGTACCCTCCCTTCGTGGACTCCGTGCGGCGACGCGGGCTCAACGTCAGCGACGTCGGCTGCGGGGTGATCTCCAGGGGGTGGTTCGGCGCCGGCCAGCCGGCCTACGGCGGCGGCAGGGTGGCGAAGATGCAGTGCTTCGTGACCGCCGGGTCGGCCAACTTCTACGCGCGGCCGCTGGAGGGCGTGACGCTGGTGGTGGACCTCGACCGGGTGGCCATCGTCGGGTACCGGGACAGGGTGGTGGAGCCGGTGCCCAAGGCCGAGGGCACCGACTACCGGGCGGACAAGCTCGGGCCGCCGTTCACCGGGCCGGCCACGGCGCCCGGCGTCGTCGTGCAGCCGGAGGGCAGGGGATTCCACATTGATGGCCGTGTTGTCAGGTACAGTGTCACATCAACAGCTGTTCATGATAGGATTACTGTTGATGAATGGACAGAGCCCACACCGTTTGTGATCTACATGTCCCTGCTCTATTATTATTACTATTTTTCTATGGAGCACGCAACTGTTGCATCATTCAACAGTAAAGGGATTTGCAAGTTGCAACGAGATACAAAAGCGGTTTATAAATGAATATGTAATTCAAGTGCTCGCTTTTATGTCATTGTTTTGCACGATATAAGCTAAATGATTTGAGGATACAGCCATTTTTTTGTCTAGAGTTATAATTTATTTCGCACGTTAGCTTTATAGAAATGGGAGGTCAATACCAGATTCTAGAAAAAAAAAAGGTGGAGGTGAAAGCAACAAAGACGAAATGGGCAAATATAAATCGCCTAAATTTATGTCAGCCTAGCATTGGTGTCTTCACACCCCCAAACTCTGCACCAGTATAGTCTTCTCTTGATCCTCTGTCTCCGGATCCACTAACCGTCTATCCTGAGGTAGCATTCTCTCTGTTTCAAAATAATTTAATATCTAGAGTTGCGAATATATTTGACTTAAGTTAAACTATTTCAAATTTGACAAAACTTATAGAAAAATGCACAAATATCAATGAAATCAAAATAATATCATTAGATACACTACCAAATACATTTTTCACTGTATGTTTATTTATTGTCATAGATATTGAGACTCTTCTCTATAAAGTCAACCATATATAAAATATTTGACTTAAGACAACTCTAGTTATGTATTCATACCAAACGCCAAATAGAAATCCAAAAGTTTCCTTCGCTTGCCGACGTGCGGTGCACCTTTTTTTCCTCTACTTCATGCACCACCCAAAAGCTAGTTTTACTCTAACTCAAATCATCTTACATTCTTATGTTTGATCAAATTTACACAAAACTGATATTTATGATACTTTAATCATCATTAACTTCATTATAGATAATATTTTCACTAGCCCTTCAATCTGTGTTCATGTACGTCCTAGAATCTAAGGAGAGATGAGTATGAATTTCGTGCTTAGTATCTACAATTAATCAAAATGATTTATCTATCCATGTCCGCTCTCTCTATTCATTTCCTAATAAAATAGAATATATATTCAATGTTATCTTTATCGGTTGCGATGTACTTATCAATTACACTCCATATGTTTTTTCCCTGTCGACAACCATATTTTTTCTACTCTATGTCACACAAACTATGTTTTCAATATGAATTTAGTTGAAACCAGAGTTATAATAGCTCTCGTTTGAGCTTTGTCCTATGTCAAATTTATCTAAGTTTGACAAAAAATTAAAGAAAAATATATCAACATCTACAATATCAAACAAGAGCGCAATCAAAAATATGTTTCATATCTAATGAATCCAATTTCATGTTGTATCTTTTCATGTATTTTCGTATAAAATTGGTGAAAGCTAAAAAAAGGATAATTTGGCTTAGGACAAATCTTGAAGAACTTATGATTTGAAATGGGGGAAGTATAATTTTTTTGTTTGCAAGTTAAGTTGGAAATCTTGTTCTTAATATACCTTTATTCTAAATCCTCCTCCTGTATTTTTATAAAACACAATAATTTTAGATCCTAAATTGCACTCTTAATTATTACTATGATGCCATAAATGACGGTACGAAGAAACTTGATGAGAAATCCAGAGATCACCCCGTGTGTGAGGGATGGATGTCGACTCGTCGAGGGGGCCAACACGATATTACCATTTAAGCCACCTTTTTTTAGCACTAACCTTGGTCCTATTCGTTTCGCTGAAATTTAGCTTATGCTGTTGCTTAAGCTTATGAGAGGAAAACACTGTCCGTTCGCTGAAAAATATTGCTGAAGTAGTGCTGAAAACACTGTTTATCAAAATGTTGATCTCTCTTTATATCAAATAAGTATATTTGTACTTGTGTTTTTTTTATTAAAATATAGATACGTCATTATAGTGCAATGAGATTATATAAATTTATCTAAAGCACTAACTTATATTTGTACTTGTGTTTCGTAAAATCATTTTTGTATTATGTTTCCTTGACTATATCCCGCCATCCGGCCGCTCGCGCGCGACTGCAGATGGGCCAACTGGGAGTTCCACGTTGGCTTCGACATGCGCGCCGGCATGGTCATCTCGCTCGCCTCCATCCAAGACGCCGATGCCCCAGGGGGGCAGCTGCGCCGACGGGTGCTCTACCGTGGCTTCGTGTCGGAGGTGTTCGTGCCCTACATGGACCCGGTGGAGGAGTGGTACTTCCACACCTTCATTGACGCCGGCGACTACGGCCTGGGCGTCTCGGCGTCGCCGCTGCTTCGCGGCGCTGACTGCCCCGCGAACGCGGTCTACTTCGACGGGTACTATGCCGACGCGGACGGCAAGCCCGTCGAGGCCATGGACGTGGTATGCCTGTTCGAGAGGTACGCCGGCGACGTAGCGTGGCGTCACACCAAGTTTGGGCCGCGTGGACGCATGGTGAGCTGGCTGGGGTTTTTTTGCTGGCTCAAGCTTTTTTATGGAGTTCACGAGCGACGGACATTGTTTTATATGCATGATGATTTGCATGCATGTGATGCAGGAGACGGAGGTGAGACCAGACGTGACATTGGTGGCGAGAACGGTGGTGACAGTGGGCAACTACGACTACACCTTGGATTGGGAGTTCAAGACCATGGGCTCCATCAAGTGTGTGGTGGTATAATATATGCCCTGTCTGCTATCTATCTTGCTGACCCTTTGTGTCACGTGATGATGCAACCAAATACGCGCTCTCATCATGTGGACATGCATGCGCTTCAGGTGTCACTCAGCGGCATCCTTGAGATGAAGGCGACGTCGTATACACAGGTCCAGCAGATCAAGTCAGACGCGCACGGCACGCTGATGGCCGAGAACACGGTGGGCGTCTACCACGACCACTTCATCACGTACCACCTGGACCTCGACGTGGACGGCACCGACAACTCGTTCGTCAAGAACACCATGGTCCCCGAGCGCAATACCGGGGACCCCGCCACGGGCGGCGCTGACACGCCAAGGAGGAGCTACTGGACGGTGCGCCGCGAGGTGGCCGCGACGGAGGCCGACGGCCAGGTGAACGTCAATGGCCCACCGGCAGATCTGCTGTTCGTCAACCCGAGCAAGAAAACCAAGGTCGGCAACGAGGTCGGGTACCGGCTCATCCCGGCGGGGGCGACCGGCGCGTCGCTGCTGGCGGACGACGACTACCCGCAGCGCCGCGCCAGCTACACCAAGCGGCAGGTGTGGGTGACGCCCTACGATAGGTCGGAGAAGTGGGCAACGGGGCTGTACGCGGAGCAGGGCACCGGAGAGGATAGCTTGGGTGCCTGGAGCAAGAGGAACAGAGGCATCAAGGACCGGGACATCGTGCTGTGGTACACGGTGGGACTCCACCACATCCCCTACCAGGAGGACTTCCCCGTGATGCCCACGCTGAGCGGTGGCTTCCAGCTACGCCCGGCCAACTTCTTCGACAGCAATCCGTTGATTCGGACCAGGCCACCGGCTGATCACAACTACCCAAACTGCTCCTGCGGCGTCGCGTCCATGTGATAAGGCTGTGAAAGAACCTCTTGATCTAGTTATTGACATGAGATGGGAATTTGTTTGGATCCTTTCATTCGAAGGAATTGAAATGTACTTAATAAATTAGACTATTCTGTTTGGAATTTAATATTTCATAACTTTTCAAAGTTCATATATAAGCCTATCTCAAATTCGTAGAGTAGGACATAGAAATTGATTCTATAGATCACCATTCTATATTTTAACTTTGCAACTTATAACACACTCTTCAACTCGACAACACATAAGAATCTATCTCGAATAGCCAACAATAATACAAATATAGTCCATATATAACCATATTAACTTAACTAAATTATGATTATTAAAATAAATTCAAGTCTAAGGATCAAACGGGGCCTGAGATTTTTAACTCATGTAGGATTACAAGAATATCTTAAATGCATCACAAGCAAACTGGCAGAGTAGAGAGTTATAGTGAGCATGGTTATTACGGTCTGGACTTGTTTGATTTAAGTTCAAAGACAAATTTGAATTATGTGCTTCAACATAATTATCGTTCATGCTTCATTAACACTTACGTAAGAAGTGATAATTGTCTACAAACATGTCGCAAAGATCAATCTCATCAAAACATCGTCTTTTGTCATTGTCTTGGTACAATACACGTGCAAAATCGAATTACTATGGTCTTGATTCTGGCTTAGCAACCAAACATCTTGTTCAATATTTTTGTTGCTCCCATTGCAACACATGGACAATCGCATAGTAATGAATTAACTCTTTAGGGCATGTACAGTGGAGTGACATCATCTGTTTAGAAAAGAGAGGTGCCACATACGAAGAGAGAGAGAGAGGACAGAGAAAAATGTCGTATAGTCATTAACATATTATTTGGAGCAGAAGAGAGGTATTTTATATAGCAGCACTTTTTACATTGTGGATATATTATCTATTTTTTTAAGGCAAAGATATTATCTATTATATATGGTCACATCGCATATCATTTAACAATTAGATGCTATTTAGATTGCTCATAGACAAATTTATACATTAGCTTGTCTATTATATTATCTATGGCTGATATGAAATGCTTTTATAAAACAACAGTTGTCAGGCCCACTGTATACATGTTTAGAAAGGTTGAAATAGGAAGATAAACTCAAGGAAAATTACTCAAAAGTAGTGGAAGAGGGTTGTTGGGGAGTGCGACCATTGACAGAGACCTTACTAGCGCCCCGGACAACCAGACAAGTGCGGCCATCGTCAGTGCACAGTGCTGGCCAGGTGCTATGACCGCGCCGGTCCGGCCGGCCAACTTTTACCCAGAACTGAGGCACCACATCGCCAACCAGCCCAGTGACCCATCGTGATGTCCCTATTGAACTCGACGGGAAAGGGCACACAGCAACAACTCATGGAGTATCAGTCATGGGACGCGCCCACTCGGCCACTAAGCGAAAAGTCAGGAGGTCGTTTTGCCCTCTTGCGCTGGTTTGCCTCGATTCTTCCAGTGCTACGCCAATAGCAATTGTATGGGTATGGCTCTCTACTCGCTATCATTGCTGTGATCGGGTTCCATCTGTTATCTGGTTATACGGTGCTAGCGTCACTAATACAGAGACGGGCTTTACTCCCGGTGGGGAACCACCTCTAGTCCCGGTTCCCCACCCGGGAGTAAGCATCCGGGACTAAAGGGGGTCCTTTAGTCCCGGGTGAGAATCGGGGATTAAAGGGGTCCTTTGGTAGTCGGTGAGTAACACCAACCGGGACTAAAGGTCCTCCCAGCTTTAAAAAAAATAATATCTCCCACCGCATTGCGTCCGTGAGATTGAACCCAAGACCTCATGCATTGCCTCGCGCGTAGCTTACCACCCCACCTACACAACACATCTGACAATAGATGGGATGCTTCCCTTTTGAACTAACCCATCGGGGGACCTTTAGTCCCGGTTGGTGGCACCAACCGGGACTAAAGGGTCCTTTAGTCCGGGTTGGTGTTACCAACCGGGACTAAATGGTCAACCGGGACTAAAGGTTGAGGACTTTTAGTCCCGGTTGGTGGCTCCAACCGGGAGTAAAGGTCCACCTTTAGTCCCGGTTGGTGTCTCCAACCGAGACTAAAAGTCCCCTCGCCATCGTGCCGGCCTTGATAGCCGTTGAGCATGGACCTTTAGTCCCGGTTGAGACACCAACCGGGACTAAAGGTCTCTCTAGTCCCGGGCGCAAAAAATACCGGGACTAAAGCCCATTTTAGCCTCGGATGAAAGGTCTGTTTTCTACTAGTGCATTTTCCCTCGTTCCACTAGTTACTTTCTCAGACTGGATTGGAGTGCAGAGCACTCCAGGACGCCATGATCGAACACACGATCATCAGTGTCTGACTGTCTCCGACACACATGTGCTTGGCGCAAAAAGCAGTACAAAAGTTATATATTGAGCTAGGGGTACAGCGTTTGGAATAACAGATCGCACTTCGAATGAGTACGAGATAAGGATGGACTGCTTGCAAACATTAGTTAAAGACCACAGGAGATTATATTCCATGGTTCTGACCGGATCACAAATCAAATGAGATTATCAAAGTCAAAGGAGGCGTGGCATATATTATTCTATCTAGATGATAGGGAAGCTACAAACATATATGCACTACCTTGGAATAAGGCATTGTTTAATTTTTCGCCCTAAAGTTTACTCCTTATTACATCGAATGTTTACACATATATAGGAAGTATCAAATATAAACTAAAAATAACTAATTACACAGTTTACGATTAATTTTATGAGATGAATTTTTTAAGCATAATTATTCCATGCTTTGACAACGTGGTGCTACAGTACACACATGTGCTAATGATGGATTAATTAGTCTTAATAAATTAAATCTCATGATTAATGATTTGATTCTGTAATTTATTTTTTAAGTATCCGAACACCCTATCTACGCCTTACATGTGACACCCAACTAAAACTTTACACCCTAAATTTAAACAGGGCCTAACAACGATGGAATAACAATGATCAGTCAAGAACGCTCGGGCACACGCCTGTTTAATAAGTATTTTCAGATCAATCATCAATACTTCAGTAGCAAAAAGAACAAGCCAGATTACGTACTGTCATGCAGTGATCTGTCAAATACGTACGTAGCTATTGTCGAGTTCGAGTCAATCAGTAACAATGATGAAAAATAAATAAACTCGAGAAACCTGCCATTGATCCGACAGTAATTTGTCTCTTTCTATCTGTGAACAAACTACTGTGGCCAGAGTTACTGGTTCCTCTTGGATTTATCAGGGGGGAACCAGTAGTGGTCTTGTTTATCATGCATGCATCACCATCTATCTATCGTCACTAAGGTAGTGGGAGAGGTTGACAAGGAACACCATGATCGTAAACCATGCCAACTGGCTTTCAAATCCACCCATCCATCCATAGAAAAAATTGAAGTTTGTGCTATCATCTCGGCTGCGATAGAACTCTATTCAGAGAAGAGCAGTTGGTGCAAAACAGAAGATCAGATGATGCATGGCTCTGGCTCGCTAGCATTTTTATTCAACGATCGATCGCTATTTGTCCACGGCATATGCAGGGCCATAACCGTGCATATGCGTGCGCAACGTTGCTTCCTCTGTAAGTGTCGGTGCAGAAAGTGATCAACATATAAATATTTATAGTTTTGTTGTACGTTGTGATCGGATGTGGCCTCGCACTCAATGACACAGGGTTTATACTGGTTCAGACAACATGCCCTATGTCCAGTTTGAGTCGGTCGGTGACTTTATTCCTGAGTCCAGGTGCTCGAAGTTTACAGTGGGGTTACAAACGAGAAGGAGAAAGATGAGGGTACAAGAGGTCCGGTCGGACTATGGTCAGAGGGACCGAGAGTGACGGGAACTCCACTATGCGCTATGTGTTCGAGCGTGTGCTCAAGGTTTGAACCTGGTGGTTCTGTTGTTGTGTACTAGTGAACTTGATCGATCTGAATCAACTTATCTGTTGGAAGAGAGCGCACCCCCTTTTATAGATGAAGGGGATGGCCTTACAAGAGAGAGAGAGAGTACGTTCGCTGCTAAGTCTTACTGCCCACGTCGGCGGGTATAAGATGATGGTATGCTCCCACAATACTGTTGAATGTCAGATGCACGTGGAAGGTTGCGTCGTCTTCTTCAGGTATGGCAGATGTCGGTACCTGTTATACTGTTGATGTTGAGAGGCATGCAGGGAGTTTTACCATGTTCGCCTGTCACGGTAAATTCCGACGCCCACAACACTATCGATACCTCAGAGGCACGTGGGGGAGTCTTACCGTATTTGTCTGGTATGGGAGTTGATGGCGCCCACAACACTGTAGGGGAAAATGTCGGCGCCTACAACACTGCTTGTGTTCTGTCATGCCAGGGAGGTCGCAGATACTGTCTTGCAGGTGTACAGGGTACGATCCTTGGTATTGCGGTTGACTTGAGTGCGCTGCCTTACTTTCTTCGTTCGTTTCCTGGTCCTTACCGAGCGGGCGTCCCCGGTCGGTTGGTCCCAGTCGGCTCTGATTGCGCCAGTTCGAGAGAAGTTGTAACTAGGGGTTCGGCGCATCCCCCGTCGGAAAAGTGGGTCGGAGTCGGAAGTGGTGTTTGGCCAGGCCATCCGGTCGGAGAGGCCGTCCGGAGGCGGGCTGTAGACCGAAGCGAGCGCTCCAGTCGGAGAGGTGGGCCGGAGTCGGAAGCAGGCGTCGTTCCTCCTCGGCCAGGCCTTCCGATCGAAGATTGGATCGTCCTTCTGGTTTGTCGTCTAGGAATTTGGGTCGGCCCATGAGTTACGCGTTGCTCGCAACGTCGTCTGTTGGGCCGAGCTTTTGTTGGAAAACCGATCTACAAAGAATTCCGGGTTTATGAACCCGACACTAGGAGCATGGCCTTCGTCCCAGCAGCAACAGGGAGTTTGCCCCACATCCATTCCAAGCACATATTCCCGGCCCGGCAGCTCACGCAATTCATCTTATCACGGCACATACAGATATATAGATTCATATAATTAGTACCTAGATGCTCATTTAGCTGCAGGCGCCATGACTGGGGTGAGCATTGCCAGTTATTATAAGTCTCTGATCATGGTGCTACTAGCGCTCCTCGTCCGCGTCAGCCTGGCTGCCTCGCCGGCGACGGCCGCGGCCGGCCGGGCAGAGGAGGTGCACCTGGTGCCCGCGTTGTACGTGTTCGGCGACTCGACCGTGGACGTGGGCAACAACCAGTACCTGCCGGGGAACTCCGCGCTGCAGCTCCCCTACGGCATCGACTTCCCGCACTCTCGGCCCACCGGACGGTTCAGCAACGGCTACAACGTCGCCGACTTCGTCGGTCAGTGAATGCACGTTAATTTCACACGAACTGGCTGCCATTGTTTTCTTTGCAACCATGCATGAAACTGACAGATTTGCAAACAAAAATTCAGCGAAACTGTTGGGTTTCAAGAGGAGCCCGCCGGCTTACCTGTCCCTGACGCCGAGAACGAGCCGTCAGATCTTGAGAGGCCTCCGCGGCGTCAACTACGCGTCCGGAAGGTCCGGCATCCTCGACACCACGGTAAGTAGCAGTACACCAGATTTGGTCGTGAGTCGTTCTTGATCATTCGGTCATTACTTATCTTGATCGTTTGTAACGTACACGTATGTCGACGGACCAGGGGAACACCATCACGTTGACGAAGCAAATCGAGTACTTCGCGGCCACCAAGTCCAAGATGGTGGCGCACAGCGGCGGGCAGGGCTCGTCGTCCGTGGACGAGCTGCTGTCCAAGTCCCTCTTCCTCATCAGCGACGGCAGCAACGACATGTTCGCGTTCCTGCAGCGGAACGGGACGGCGAGCGAGGTGCCGTCCCTGTACGCGGACCTGCTGTCCAACTACACGCGGCACGTGCGGGCGCTCCACGACCTCGGGGCGCGGCGGTTCGGGATCGTGGACGTGCCGCCGCTCGGGTGCGTGCCGTCGGTGCGGGCCACCTCCCCCGACGGCGCGTCCAGGTGCGTCGACGGCGCCAACGCGCTGGCGAGGGGCTTCAACGACGCGTTCAGGGCGGCGCTGGCCAACCTCACGGCCTCGGGCGCGCTGCCGGGGGCGCGCTACTCCGTGGGGAGCTCCTACAGCGTGGTCTCCTACTTCACGGCGCACCCGGGCGCCGCCGGGTTCAGGGAGGTGGCCAGCGCGTGCTGCGGCGGCGGGCGGCTCAACGCGCAGACCCGGTGCACGCCCAACGCCACCTACTGCTCCCACCGCGGCGAGTACCTGTTCTGGGACGGGGTGCACGGCACGCAGGCCACATCCAAGAAGGGCGCCGTGGCTATCTTCTCCGCGCCGCCGCAGATGGGGTTCGCCGCGCCCATCAACTTCAAGCAGCTGGTGTCTTCTTGATGCTCGGAATACAGAGCTTTCAACTGATGACGCAAATCATTACAGCTAGCAACCTAGCACTACCAAAAGAGCTTTTGATTCTTTATTACAAATAAAATCAGTAGAGATTCATCAAACTAATAAACCAGGAAATGTAGAGCCGTAGAGGGAGGGAGCAGCATATACACAGATAGTCCAGCGAGGCAAAATTCTCGCCATGTACGCTCGTGAATAAACTAGCAGGTTGCAATATTTGGGGGCGCTGTGACTGTGCTAACTCGACGACTTCCGTCCGCTACAATTGCGTTCGTGTCGCGAAGTTGATTTCGAACTACTGCTGTCATCGTACCGCCCCGCTCTACTCAGCTCGTCCCTGGTTTTTTTATTTGACTCGCTCCTCCAAATCAAAATCGGATTTCAAATCAAATCAAATTGTTCTATGTATAAATAAAAATCCTAAAAAATATGCAGAGGTATCGTCCTACCGTCCCGCTCTGCTCAGCCCATCCCTGGCTTTTTTTGACTCGCTCCTCAAAGGTCCACCATCACAGCTTCTTCCTAACCCCTCAACCTCCCCTTCCCCTCCGATCGTCGGCAACCTATCTGGTGATGATGTCCGTCTGCGCATCCTCTAGTTCAGTCCCTTGTGCAACCTTCCCTGCCGCCTCTTGCTCTGGTTCGTAAGATCTGGACTGGTCTTACCTAAGGTGAGGACGCTCTCCATCCCTGTGGAAGGCTCCACCAGGTCCCTCTGGTGACAGCCATGGATTTCTCCAAGCTCGACTTTGCTGCGGGAGAAGCTTTCAGCAAGAAAATCTTCAATCTCTTCAAGTGCGGTGTTTCCTCAGATGCATCACCAGCAAGCGAGGGCTTTTCCTTGCTGGTGTCTTTTAGCAGGAACAGATTCAGGCTTAATGAAGATTCAGTCAATACCTGTCTACAATCTGTGCTGGGTGGCAGGGCACAGCTGTTCAAAGCTGATCAGATGGAGGATCAAATCTTCAAATTCAGGGTCTCTTCGCGACAAGTGGGATTTCTCATCTGCGAGCTTGGATCTCGTTCTTGCGAATGGTTCAATTTGGCTTTCTTTCTTTATAATGATGATGGTTTTCTCAAAGCTCTTTCCTTTGCTAAGAGAGACTCTGGTCCCTCCTTCAATTGGGAATCCCCTAAGTACAAGGGTTCAAAATCTTCTTATGCTTATGTTGTCAAGAACAATCATGCGGCAGCATGCTCTGATCGTCCCTTCAGTCAAAGGTCTCCTCCACTCTCAGGAGCCAACGCTATACCTGTTGGTAAATCTAGAGGTAATATAATCTCTGGCTCCTCCTCAGGACGTTCAGTTTTTTCAAGACTGGTTTTCCCCCGAAAATCAGTGTTCTCTCGGCTAAGCTATACGTCTCCTGAGCCGGCCCCAAGCCGTTTGTCTTTCAATTTCAAAAACTGGCAACAAGTCAAAGATCCGGGGCAGAAAGGTGTATCCTTCTCGAGGATCGACTCTGTAGCCGGGGCTGACCTCCACTGTAAAAGGTGCCTCATGTCCAATCACAATACGGTGGCATGTGTCAACCCGATCAAGTGCTGGCGGTGTAACCAAGACGGGCACATATCCAAGGGCTGTGCCTCTTTCCACGAGAACAAAAAGTTTCAAGCCCTCTGTACGCAGCCGCCAAACTGTAACTTCTCCTCGCTTATCCCAACCGGCGCTTGGCCTTCTGAGGCTGGACGCCATTGGTTCAGGGACACTGTAAGGCCCATTCCGCATAGCCCACAACAAGGCCCGGCTAACGAGTCACCTTTTACTGCCGGCCGCAGCGTCCCAACAGTCGCCACCCCTTCGGCTACCTTGCTCTCCCCTTTTCCCCCGACAACTTCCCCCAAAAGGAAAAAACCCCAGTTCACCACTGTTGCGGAGGAGGTTGGCGCCGGCGACCACCAACCAGAACCAGAAGCAATGGCGTTCTTGAACATCAACCCAGCACCGATGATGTTCCCAGGTTTCCACAGAGTCTTGGTTCAAGGAAGGCCTAGGTTTGCAAGGGTGGTCCCTCCAAGAACTCCGCCGGCAAATGAGGACCTTGCGATCGTCACCATCACTAACCCTCCTCCGGGTGAGATTCCTTTTGCCGACTCTAGAGAGCTTATCCTGGGGTTGATAGAGGGGCACTATGAGTTGCGGGTCACGGAGATTCAGCGGAGCCCGTTTGCTAGAGCCCAAGCTTTTGTCTGGTTAGGACGTGTGACCGACAGGGATGCCCTAGTCCACCGGAGCCCACATCAGTTCCAAGGCTTCAACATTGAGGTGGTACCGCACAACAGAGGACCCAATGCACGAAGAGTACTCTTCAACAGAGAATGTTGGCTCATGCTCATCGGTTACCCGGTGGATGCTTGCTCCATTGATGAAATCAGAGACACTATCAAGTCCTTTGGCAGGCTCATTTGTTGGCAAAAGGACAATGTTCTGTCAAGGGTGGTTGTCAAGGCACGAGTCACTGATTTAGAGGATATCCCGCACTACCTGGTTCTATCCGAAGGGGATGACTTTGAAGGAGTCTCCACCACTGTGCAGGTAGAAATCATGCACCAAAATTTGCTTGGTGGAGGCCTACAAGATGAAGACATTCCGCCACCTAGGGTAGACGGGGACTTTTTCTTCCCTGGCATTGGTCCAGCACAGCCTCAACAGGAACCTCACCAACAGATCCAGGGTCAGGCTAACCAGCCCAACTTAATCCCTGACCTTAATGATTTCCTCATTGAGGCCAACAACAATGCACAGCAAGATGAAAATCAGAACAATGATGAGGGCCCAGTTGATGCTGCTGAGGAAGAGGCCCAACAAGATTTCCTGGATTTGGAGCTCAGTCTGTCGGCACCTGTGGCATCAAAAGCAGATTCCTCATCCACAAGTGGGAACAGCTCGAAGATGCAAGCCAATGTTGTCACAAGTCCGCAGAAGGAACATGGGCAGCCAGAAAATCAGCCAGACATAGCAGAAGAAGCAATGAGCAATGCTGGCATAGTCCAAGAATTGCAGCATGACCCTGTCATTCAACCAGCAATACATGAAGTCGGGGGGAACTTTATCATTGGGGACAACTTCTCTCCCGACTTCTTGCCAGCTGCCAACCTCCACAACCTGGGATTCAATGTGGACCTGAACCAGCCTCTGGAGGCTCAGATGGGGGTCAATCTGCCAAACCCCATGAACATTGATGAACAGCCCTTGGATCTGCATCAAGACCATCCAATGGGGCCCAATGATCAGAACTTCACTGAACCAGTGCCTGCTCCCCTCAGCTCAAACAAGCTTCAAATCAACATGGCCACATGGAACAACCCGCAGGCTGACCCAGGATGGATGGTGCATTCCTATAAAGCCCCTGCAGATGTCTACAGGCTATGGGCCAAACACTTCTCCATGACAGATGGGACCAGACAGGTGATTGACATCCCCACTAACTGGGCTTCTTTTTTCACACAAAAGCTTCTATCACCTGCATATTTTGATTGGGCAAAAAATTTCCTGGCATCTAGAGCATGGAATTTCATTATTTCATCCAGCAACTCTTCAACATTGATTTCTTTTGCCTTACCATCTGTATGCCCACCAAATGCTGAAATACAGTGTATTTCATCCCCAAACGACTTTGAAGATGGGGACAAGGGACACACTCAACACACTAGGGATGCTGCCCAAAAAGGGCCCATGATTGAGACAGAAGCCAGAAGAAGCCCGAGACTGAGGGAGAAAAAGGGTGGATTCAAGCGCCAAACTTGTCTCAGTAAGAACTGCTTAGCTTGTGCAGCCACTCCTCCAACTATTCCCAGTGCTCTCATTAAATCCATCAGCTCTGACTTGTGTAAAATAAACTCAGACATGGCAGACAAACAAGGTAGCTCCAAGTCCCCAATTGGAGCCAAGAAAAGAGCAAAGGCCGAAGGGAGCATGGAAGGTCCCCAACCCCATGAGGTGCCCAAAAAATCAAAGAAATGAAGGCTCCCAGGGACAATGAAGTTTAATTCTTTTGTTATCTATGGATAAGTGTTGTTCTAGACAATCAGTCTGTTGGGCCGGTGGTTTCTTTTTCTGTATGTTGAACATGTTTATGTCCTACACTTTGCGCCCCACATGCAATGTGGTGAATGGGAACAAATGGTCCCGAACTTGGTGGCTTTCTGAAATGATTTGCTCCTATATGATCGTCATAAGCTCTCCTATGTTTCCCAGTTCCTTTATTACGATGAGTCATGTGAACCCCGTTTTTGGTACTCTTTGGCCGTTTTTTTCGGGGTATTAGCCACACAAATATTCTTTTAACAATATGAATCGAACAACAATAACAGGTCCTGGAGGATTTTGTCACGGAATATCGGGGAATCAACGCTTTCGGAGCAAATGGGAGGCAATTGGAGCAAAATAAAAGAGTCTCGATGCGACATCATACGCTACGAGGAGACAAAAGAGAGGTGTTTGATGTACAATATGTTAAGAAATTATGTCCCCGACAATGTCAGGATTCACTTATCTCCCGTCCAATGGTAACTCGGGAGGGAGCCTAATTGTCCGGAAGGAATCTAAATTGAAGGGGAAATGATCTTCCGAATGAGTATGCTGTGATCGGTCAACCTAACTTTGTAAAGTATCGGGCCAGTCTTGGATTCTCACAAATATTTACGCCCGTGCACTCCGGAGGGAAAATGCGATTCCTCAATTGGTTTGACAACATAGATATGCTCGATGACCTTCTCTCGGATGGTGGTAGGGGACTTTAATCGCCGCAAGCCACAAGACGAAACAAGCCGGGAGGAAGCATACAAGAAATGCTTTTATTTAACGCTGCAATTAGTAAGCTAAGGTTAGAAGAAGCGCCACTAAGGGGCGGTCAAGATACATGGACCAACAAACAAAGATGATCCATTCTTTGGAAAGGTGGATGGTTCTTCACTTGACCTCTGGACAACGTCCTTTCCAAACACTTTTGTCTCAGCCCTATCAAGAGATATCTCAGATCATA